GACACACGTATCCCACACAGCTGGGGCAGAGTGGCTGAAGGGCTGCTCAGCAGGAAGGGACATGGGAATGCTGGTTGGCAGCTGGCTGGATGTGAGCCAGCGTGTGCCCAGGTGGGCAAGGCCAGTGCCAGCTTGGCCTCTATCAAGAACAGTGTGGCAGCAGGACCAGGGTAGGGATTGTCCCCCTGTGTTGGGCACTGGTGAGGCCACACCTTGAGTCCTGTGTTCAGTGGGCCCCCTCACTACAAAAAGGACTTTGAGGCACTGGAGTTTGTCCAGAGAAGGGAATGGAGCTGGAGAAGGGTCTGGAGCACAGGTCTGATGAGGAGAAGCTGAGGGAGCTGGGGGGGCTCAGTCTGGAGAGGAGGAGGCTCAGGGGGGACCTTCTCACTCTGTGACTCCCTGACAGGAGGGTGGAGCCAGGGGGGTTCAGGCTCTTGTGCCATGTCCCAAGGAAAGGACAAGAGGAAACAGCCTCAAGTTGCACCGGGGGAGGTTCAATTTAGGTATTAGAAGTAATTATTTCACTGTCAGAGGGGTCAGGCCTTGGAGTGAGTTGTCCAGGGAGGCAGTGGAGTCACCATCTCTGGGAGTGTTCAGGAGGTGTCTGGATGTGGCACTTGGGGACACGGCTTAGGGGTGATTGTGGTCAACCTCGATGACCACGTGATTTCAAAATGTGATGACCTGAAAGCTGAGAAGTAGATACGAGACTCCTCTACTTCAAGAGCCAGCCTGAACCACGGTGAGCTCCATGGGCGGGAGCAGCAGCAAACAGGCTGTGCTTTGCTTGCAGAGGAGCTGAGGCACAGCATGCCCAACCTGGCCAGGAGCAGCCTGCGCGCGCTCGACTCCGTGAGGAGCAGTCGGAGCCTGGAGTCCGACCTGCAGGTGCCCAGCAGCCGAATTCCCAGGACTCAGCAGCGGTCAGCAGGTCAGTGCCGCATCTCCCACGTCCACTTTAGTCCCCTTTGCCCTCTTGAACCAACCTGAAGTGTTTCTCCTGCTGTGTCCCCCGGGCAGGTCTGACTCCCAGCAAGCTCAGGTACTCCTCGGGTGCCGGGCAGTCCCCGCTGACGGTGCGACAGCCCGGCAAGGCCGGCTCGGGCACCAACTCCCTGCTGGCCACCAGGCAGGCGGTGAAACCCTGCGGCTACACGGCTCCCGGCTCTGCAGTCAGGAAGCCACAGGCCCCTTCGCTTCACACGGGCTCTCCCAGCACCAGTTGCACTTCCAGAACCACCACCATGGTCACCGCGGCCAAAACTTCCGCCCTGAAGGCGCGGCCGGCCGGCGGAGGGATCGCGGCGCCCAAGGGGAAGGCGACGCCGCCGTCCAGGAGGTGAGTGGGAGCTTCAGACCTCGGGGATTCCAGCGCCTGCCTTTAGCTCACAGATTAGGAAAACTCCTTTATAGATCACAGAATGGGTTGGGTTGGGCTGGAAGTAGCCGAGAGCAAACCTTCCTAAAAGAAAAACTCACTCGGGAGATACCAGGTGGGCCTGGCAGGGAAAGGCTCCAAATGAGGAGGGAAGGGAGAAAAAGGATGCACTCCTCAGGCCCCCAGAAAACACCACGGATCCAAAGAGCCCCTCAGCAGGGCCAGGAGGGGTTGGCAGCTCTCAGGGATGGAGCACAAAGGTGAGTCAAGAGCCACAGACTCCCAGACTGGTTTGGGTTAGAAGGGACATTAAAGCCCATCCAGCCCATGGCAGGGGCACCTCCCACCAGCCCAGGTTGCTCCAAGCCCTGTCCAACCTGGCCTTGGGCACTTCCAGGGATTCAGGGGCAGCCACAGCTTCTCTGGGCAACCTGTGCCAGGGCCTGCCCACCCTCCCAGGGAAGAATTCCTTAAGTTGCTTCCATCTCCATTTCTGAAGTGGGATGTGGGTATGGAGCTGGATCTGAGCTACTGAGTACCTTTAGATGGAATCATAAAATCACAGAATTGGTAAGGTTGGGAAAGACCTTTAAGATCATCAAGGTCAACCCATCCCCAGCACCTTGTTCACCACTAAACCGTGTCCTCAAGTGCCACATCCACACGTTTTTTGAGCACTTCCAGGGATGGGGACTCCACCCCTGAGAGTCCACCCTGGGAAGTCTGTTCCAGTGTAGGATTGTGGCTGGGGACCCTCAAAGACAGGAAAGGGCTCAGCTTGGAAGGTTCTTGGCCAGTGAATCAAGAAGCAAAGGGTCCCAGTCCCTTAAATACCTCTGCCATTAAATTTTGTGTGAACTGCCAGGCTGGGACTCATCACCTGGTGAGAGATGCCCCTTTTTACCACATAATCTATGAGCAAACCTGTCAATATCAAATCCATTTTAAAAAATAAATGCTTTTCTTAAACAGAGGTGGTTGCCAGGAAAATGAAGAAGCTCAAAGTGATTTGTGTTAAAAATGGAGATGAACATTATGGCACATATTTGGTGCATACTTTTTATTTTTGGGAAGGGGAAAAACCCTTCCAAAGGACTGTTAAGGAAATCTTCCCAGCTGACCTACTTTGGTGCCTCTGAAACTTTGCCTCTGGTAAAATACATGTGGTGGTTTTTTTATTTCCTTAGTCTTTAGCCAGGTCTGTAGGTTGTCCAAAGCCTAATCAGGTTTTAGAAGGGTTTGAAAAGTCAGACAAATGAACAAGTTTTGATTTAAACATGATTTATACCCCAGGGTGAAAGCAGAGCACGTAGAGTGGTGGCCAAAACCTTACAATTTTTGTTCTTGTTGCTATTTTTTTGCAGCTACAGTTGTACAGCAGAGTTTCATGATTGAGGGAAATAATAATAATAATAATAATAATAATAATAATAATAATGATGATGATGATGATGATTATTATATGGCTGATATCAGACTAATAAGCAAACAGGGTTGCTTATTTTATGTCCTTGCAGCCTTAAATTGAAATATGCCTACTTTCTTTAAACACACATTAAAAAGAGAGATTTTAATCTCATAATTTGTAGCAGCAGTCTGCAAACCCGATTATTTTTCATGTGTTCAGCTTTATTTGCAGGGAAAACTTCTTTCTCTTGGACTCAGTGATGGGCTAAACCCCCAGTAAAAGGTGTTGGTAACTTGGCAGGATCACTGTCAGTCACTGAATTCCCCTAAACTGCCTGGAATTGGTGCTGCTGGTGCCCAGGGTGTGCCAGCAGCAGTTCCCCCGGGGCAGGGAGATGCTGCTGGTGGTAAATCCTCAGAGCTGTGGCCATCACAGCTCACTGGGGCTTTGCCTGAGGTGGTTTTTTGTCCCAACCCAGGTTCCTTCAGTCGGCACAGACCCCCCCGGCCCCCGAGGACGACTCCTGGAAGGATGGGTGCTACTGACCCCCCAACACCTCCGTGGAGCAGAGCCCCAGCTGGCTGGGCATCACCTCCCTGGGCAAGGAGCCTCCAGCCCCCTCTCCCTGCAGACTCCTGTACATATTCCTCAGATTCCTGGGAAGCAGCTCCACCTGCTGCTCTGCCAAGAGCCCGACCTCGCCGCGGCAGGACCGGCAACCCGGTGGCTTCCACCCACCAAGAGTCTTCCCAGGAAGACTGCAAATGGCCTTATTTCATCTGCCCCCCTGCCTGCAGCCCTGGGGAAGGTCTGTCCCCCCCAAGCTGGGCTGTGACCCTGCTCCTGAGGGGGCTGGGAAGGCTGGGAGGGTCCTCTCTGTGCCGGGAAGCAGCTCTGAGCCGGTGCTGTGGGGTGGCAGAGCTCGGGGAGACTAGAAATAGTGACATAGGTGTTAGAATTAAGACTTTTTAAATCCAACCTGATGTGCTCTAATATTTGTCTGAAACTCAACTGGGTTTTGGTTTTTTTTTTTTTTTTTGTTGGTTGGTTGGTTGGTTTTTTTTTTTTTTTACTTCTGTATAGAATGTATTTCTGCTACTTTTTATGGTTTGGTCTAGAGCTGCAGCAGGTTTTTATAACTGTAGAACACTTCAAACTGTTGTATGCAGGTGTCAGCACAGGCCACGAGTGAAGGAGCAGTACACAATATTTGTGTGGGGTGTGAACAGGCAGGGACAGGGGATGCCAGTTCAAAACTGCTGGTTCCCAGCACCACCTTACCTCAGCTGAGAGGAGGTTACCACCAGGTAAGAGCAAACTTTAAAAAAAAAAAAATAACCCTCCCTGACAGCTTTGGCTTGAAGTGTTTGATCTCTCAGCTGGTTCCCAACTGCCCTGACTTTTGTAGAAGTTTTTTACTGTCTCTTAAGGATTCTGTTCCAGTGTCCTTTTCCTCAGCAAGTGCTGGATGCTCCAAACAGTCTTAGTCCAGGAAATATGCACTGATAGCAACGTTCTCCCTGCCATCAATGTGACCTTGAAATAGTGTAGTTTAATAAAATGTTATGGTGCTGAACGAGATCTGCTTTATTCCAACGGCCAGCCTGACTTGGAGTGAGTTTTGTGCCAGGGAAGAGGCTTTTCCTGACAGGTTGGACTCTCTTAGAGCTCTTCCTGGGTAAAGAGGCCTCCATCCAAGTCTCTCAGGATGCAAGGAGTGAGATTTCCCTTGAATTCCTTGGAGCTCAGAAGGACAAGGGGCGTGTTGGCAAAGGAAAACTTAGGTTGTGCCATTCCCAACACATCCACACGTGGCCTAAGCAGAACCAAATCCAGGGAGTTCTGCCAGGGCCCCTCACTGCAGGGATCACTTGTGATCGAGGAAAAAGAGAGGAACAGGCAGTTGGTGGTCCTGTGTCACCCAGTCACATCACCTACAGGGACAGTGCCACCACTTAGGGACTTTTCCAGGGCAGAGAAGAGGCACATGAGCCTCAACTGCTCCTTCTCTGACTCCAAACTTCAGCTGGTTTTACATCAACAGGCTTCTCCCCACCCTGACAGAGCTCAGCACATTCCCAGCACCTCCTCTTTGTTTCCTTTATGGAAAACATTCTTTTCTGAGCCTTCCAGCTGGTGGAACCTGCTCCCATTGATCTTGCCTTCCCAGTGCACTGAAAGGTAAAAGAGCAGCAACATTTCTCTTTGATTTCTGTACTATTTGAGGCCACTCCTGTTGCCTTTATTATATTCCAAAGATGGGAGCACACTGGTGTTTTCCAGGCACTGCCTGAGGTGAGAGCTGCTATTTTTTATGGATCCTTCCCCCCAGATAAATGTTAATGATTGAAGGTGACATTCTAGTTAAAGCCTGTCAGGCAGGTGGGATGGTCTCTCTGCAGCCTGGATGGCTGTGGAGATCCAGACCTGGATACAATTCCAGGCTGACCAGAGAAGCAAAAAGGTGCTGAGCTTGGATTCTGCTTGGATTCATGGGAATTTTAAATACAAATCTGCTGCTGACAAACACTTGGAAGCAGCTTCAGGAGGGGAACACTGAGCACCAACCCCAGACCCATCCCACTAAGGAGCTGTTAATTCAGGTTTTCTCATTCCATTTTTCCAAGCTCTTCTCACCCCCAGGGCTCTCCCTTCAGCCTCTAACATTCTCCAGCATCCTGAGCCCTGGCTGGTAGCATTAAAATGCAACCAAGATAATAATCAGCAACTCAAACAGTTTCTGCAGGTTCCAAAGGAAATCCAACTCCCTCATCCTGATACACAAACCTGCTTCCAAACCCTAACAGCATTCCTGAGGTAGGTGGAAAGGCTTCCACAAAACTAAGGAGCTCTGCTTTCTGTACAGGAATTTTATTGAAATCAATCAAGTTACCTTTTGTTTTTACACTAATGCCTCAGTGCATCCTTTGAAAGGAAAGGAAGGATTTTTTTTTTCTCTTTAAAAATTGTTTGTACATAAGACAAGAAATCATGGCAATGAACAGGGTTAACACCAGGCCCCCTAAACATGCACAGCTGTACAGGGGCTGCAGGAGCTGAGGAGGGGCTTTCTCCAAGCTTTACATTCCATTTACAGGGAGAGAAGCAGGTGCCAGTGGCCTCTCTTACTGGGGAGGGATCCAAGTCCCATCCCCCTGGGTGAAGTTTGGGCCCAGCAGAACACAAATCCAAAGGAGCTGTGAGTTCAGAGAACTCTTTCTGTGGGAGCTGCTGGGAAGCTGCAGGGTGGGTGTGACAGTGAAGGAGCAGCAGTGTCACATCACCCCCCTCCCTGTGGCACCAGGACCCCACAGCACTGACCACGTGCTCCAGCTCAGTCCCCTTCCTGTACCACCACCCCAGCCCACTTCCCTGGGATTCCTTTGGAGCCCACGTGAAGGGGGTTTCTGGTTCTTTTCTGGGACAGGAGCCCATCAGCTCCAGGACAGAAGTGTGGACACCACTCCCCCAGGAGCCAGGCCTGGCTGGTGCTTCAGGGGAGCAGCTGGGACAGGAACAGCCCAGCTGAGCCTGCTTTTGGTTCTCAGCCTTGGGTTTGGTTTGAACTCTTCCCAGAGGAGCCCATTCCTGCCTCTGGCAGAGCCTTTCTCCCTCAGCCCTCAGAGTCCCCAGGCAGCACCTCCAGCCCTTCTCTGTCCTGTGGTTTTAGCACTCACAGCAGGAGAAGCACAAGCAGCAGCTCCCTGACACCTGATCAAGCCAGAGCAACAGATTGGCCCCCAAATTCACCCCAGCCAGTGCCAGCATTGTACTCATTCCAATCCACCCTCCAAAGAACAGCAGGAGAAACAACCTGGGAGAAAGCAGATCCGTGACTGCAGCCGGAACCACGAGCAGCCGCCTCCTTTACTGTGCCCACCCAGCCACAAACCAAGGGGGGAGATGAGGAAGAAGTGAGGATGAAGAGGCAGCCATTCCAAATGCTGAGGTGACCCCCCCTACCTGCAGGAAAACTCCCCAGGAAAAGGGAGATTTCCCACCTCTCAGTGCACAAAGCCCCGTCCATTTTGTTCCCACCGGGATTAGAGCCGTGACCTTCCCGTGCTGAAGCACTGAGAGCCACACGTGGCCAGATGTGCATCTCCAGGGACTGTGGAAACTCAAACCATCTCATCCCTGCCCTGTTAGTTTGGCTCAGCCCACCCCAAACCACCCTCTGGCTCCATCCTCACAGGCAGGCCAGGCCCGTTCCCCATCCGAGTGCAAAGCCACAGGGACACAGGGAAGGAAGGCATTCGTGGGGACAGGAAAAGGAACAAAGAAATCCCTTCAAGTAATCCAGCCCAGCCCTCTCTGGAGGTCACAGCTCCTTCTGGGCCCCTCTGGGGTGATAAGGCAAAAAAGTCTGAAGTCCTGGAGGGATGGAGGGATGAGGAGGTGGCAGAGGTGACAGGTGAGTTATTCCATAGGTTGCTTCTTCACACTCCTGGCACTCATCTCCAAGGGCCCAGCAGCAGCTCTGGTTATTTCTGCACACAGCTGGGCCAGGCCAGCCCACCACACACTGCTGAGAGGATGATGTAGAGGATCACCTGGGGAGGGAAAACGGGAATTCTGTAGAGAATGAGGGATTTCCATCCTTCTCTCAACTGCCACACACCTGGAAACTCCAGTTACCAAACCCCTAAAGAACTTGGCCAACACCCTCCTCCCCCTGCCTCTCCCTGCAGCAAGGACAGGTTTTGGTGTTTTCCAGAGGCTCTCCACACTTCCCAGGTTCTCCACACTTACAATGGACACGATGATGATGACGATGGTGAGCTTGAGGTTCTTCATGCACATGGCCCGGGCGAGGTTCCTGCTGGTTGTTTTGAAAGTGACTGACTGCAAGGGAAAGGAAAACAAGGAATTCATTCCCAAAGGAAGCTGGATCCCAAGAAGAGCCAAGCTTTTCCCTGCTTCCCCAAACCGTGGCAGTTTTTTCCTCCAGAGCCATTTAACTCCTGCACAAAACTGAACAGGCAGCAAGAGAAAACTCTCCCACAACTCCAGGGACAGGATAAAGTGTGTGAGTAAGTCCAGAGCCAGCTTGGAAGGATTAAACATGGAATATTCCCAGGTCTGGGGGCTGCCCACAGGGATTGGTCTATCTCAGAGTACTGGTGAGGTTCTCATCTCACTTCTGACCTTTTGGGAACTGAAGTGCTCCAAAATATTTACAGATCCACTGATCTAATCTCTAATCCCCAACATATTCCAGGGGTTAATTAGTGTAAATACACCTGCCAAACTGGGACAATCCATAGGCCACTCCTGCCAGCCAAACCCCAGGGGTGAGACAAGTCCTTCAGTGCCCAAACATTCCTCCAGAATTTGGGCCCTCCTGCATTTTACAGTGTCACAGAATGGGCTGGGTTGGAAAAGACCTTGAAGATCATCTTTTTCTCTCCCTGACATGGGCAGGGACACCTCCCACTAGCCCAGGTTGCTCCAAGCCCCATCCAACCTGGCCTTGGACACTTCCAGGGATGGGGCAGCCACAGCTTCTCTGGGCAAGCTGTTCTGCAAAGCCTGTGGTTGTCCCACTCCAAGTCTCCTCTCTGTATCCTGCAATTCCACTCCTTCAAAATAGCTTTTGGTCACCAAACAACCCCAAACACCCACCAGGCTGGGTCAAGGCAGGGATTCCCAAGATGCTCCTGCCCAGGGAAAGGCAGCAGTGGCTGGATCCAGCCAATCCAGCAGCTCCCTCTGCTGGGAATTGCCAGTTTTCCCACAAACCACCTCCTGGGCGGAAACTGCATCCCTGTGAACTGCACTCCTGACTTAGAGCCCATTCCCAGGCTGGAGAACATCAGCCCTGGATCTCCCAGGACACTCAGGTAGGACATTCCCACTGGACACATCCCATCCCTTCATTTCCTGCATGGTTTCCAAGAACCAGCACTCCCTGGGAGAGCTCCCATGGGAACACAGCCCAATTCCTGAAGGAACTCCAGTCCCTTTCCCTAAAGCATTCCCACCTGAGGACCTGACAAGGTTTGCACACCTGGGAGCTGGAGGACAATATTCCTGCTGGATAAGCTCCAGGCACCTCTCCTGCCTCTCCAAAGCACGAGGGCTTCCTGACACCTTAGAGGGCCCCACAAGATCCAGGAACTCCAGGATTGGCTTTGGAGTGTTGGATGCCACAGGAACTGGGCACTTTACCAGATAACACTGCTTTAGAATCACATTAAATTTAGGGGTTTTTTTCAGTCCTCCCTCCTTTAGAAACACTCAGAGAAGCTCCAGAGTCTTCACAGACTCTTTAGGTGGAACAGCTCAGGTTGATTTTTATTTTAAACCAGCTGCACTTTCCCCTTTGTTGTATCATCACAACTGCACGGATTCACATTTTCCAGTTTATCTGGATCTTTCCCAGCCTGGGAAACAGCTGTAAGGAGGGCAGGGATAAGACACGACCCAAGGAAGGGTTCCCTGCAGGACTCCATGCTCCTGTGTCTGTCTAAGTGTCTCTGGGTGCTGGTGTCTCCCTGCCCTGCTCCCTGGGGTGCAGGAACACCATTTCCCAGTTCCAGGATCTCCCCCAGACTCACCGAATCCACGAGGTTCTCTGTTTTATCGATCAGCAGCTCCAGCTTCTCCCCTCTTTGCGCCACAAGGTCTGGAGAAAAGAGACAAAAATCCAGATTGGAAGGTAGAATCCCAGTGCAAAAAGCTGCTTCCAACACCCAACCCTAAGCCAGGAGCCCTTGGATGCAATTTCCAGCCTTCCTGGCACTGCCAGGTCTTTCAGGAGCAGCCTCTCATCACACGGGCTGTGTTTGGGGACTGAATTTGGGTAAATTCCAGCTCTCTTTTGAACAGTCAGACTTGTCCAAACCCAAACTGGTGTGACACAAAGTGAAAGAGGCTCCAGGCAGCTCTTCCCAAGGGAAGCAGGTACCTATGTTCCGGACCATGATTCCTTTGAGTTCATCGATCTGGGCTTGTGTCTCTGCCACCTGGTCAGGGCCTTTGCTCTCCGAGTGGTATTTCTGCAACAGAGGACAGGCAGTGACAGCAGGAGCTCAAAAAGGACAGGCAGTGACAGCAGGAGCTCAAAAAGGACAGGCAGTGACAGCAGGACCTCAACTAAGAACAGGCAGTTACAGTAGGACCTCAGCAAACCAACAGTCAGTGACAGTAGGACCTCAACAAAAACAGTCAGCAACAGCAGGACCTCAAAAAGGACAATCAGTGACAGTAGGACCTCAATAAACCAACAGTCAGCGACAGCAGGGCCTCAAAAAGGACAATCAGTGACAGTAGGACCTCAATAAACCAACAGTCAGTGACAGTAGGACCTCAAAAAGGACAATCAGTGACAGTAGGACCTCAACAAACCAACAGTCAGCGACAGCAGGACCTCAATAAAGAACAGTCAATGAAAACAGGACCTCAACAGAAACAGTCAGTGAAAACAGGACCCTCAACATTCCACTTCAGGTCTTTAACACAAACAAAGGCAACTCGGGTCCCTGCAGAACAGCATGGACAGAAATGGGAGTTTTCAAACCACCCAAGATGTTTATCAGTGGGTGGAAGACCAAAATCTGGCTTTTTCAGCCATTTACAGACCTCCCCCCCCCTCTGCTCCCACACTGGTGCCCAGAGGGCCCAGAAGTGACAGTCCCCTTTGGAAGTGGAAGCAACTGGCAGCAGGGAAGGGAAGTTAAGGCAGGAGGCAGGAGCTGTGGGTCCCTGTCAGGGGTCCCAGCCCCACTCCTCAGCTCAGAACTATTTCTGAAGGCAACACACTTTGATGAGCTTCTCTAGGGCACATCGAGGGGTCCCTGCAATCCCAGGGGACAGCAGGGATCCATCTCCACAGGTGGCCTCAGAGGGGGATCCAGGGAAGGTGAGGAGTGCCTGTGGACTGGGAATGTTGGAGGTGGCCAGTTGGAGTGTCCCAAGAGGAGCAGGATACAGGAGCAGCCAAGGGCCAGCCCACAGCCTGGACCCACCCAGGAGGATCTCCCAGCTCACCTGCCCTGAGCTTTGCTGCTCTCCAGCCCCTCTGGTGTGTTCCCTGTTGCACCACTCCTGTCAGCCCTGCCCCTTCGTTCCCTTGGGAAGTGCCAGTGACTCCAGTTCCCCCAGTTGGGACCCCAGAGATCCCCTGGTGCCTGCCCAGCTCGGGGGGGTGGGAGCAGCACGAGCCAACCCCCAGCTTAGAGGAGCCTCAGGGTTTGCAGAACCCCAGGAGGGAAACCAAGGGCCAGTGGCATCAGGGAACTGAGTTCTGCTCTTCCTGCATGGATTTGAAGTCCCTGATCCCATCACAGCTGCTCTGCTCCATGATCACCCACCTGCCTGCTCCAATCCCAGTTTTCTTCTGGGCAGGAGTTTAACTGAAATCCAAATCTGACAGAGTCCAACACTGACAGCACCCACCTGGTAACTCATGGGCACAGCACCCACTCCAACAGCTCCTCTGGAACTGCCCCAGTGGAGTTTTGGGAGAAGGTGCAGACTGGCCCACTATCAAAGCCAGTCACTGGTTGGACTGGAAGCACAGCCCTCCTTCCCAGGATTATGTGTGTGCTGCCCTTGAGCTGGAGTGGGATCTCTGCCTCCCACCAGTGACAGGGATCCCCTGGAAAACATCCCTGCTCCTGCACTGAGGACAGGGCAGCCAGGCTGCCAGCCTGGAGCAGGGAGGGAAGAGCTCTGCCAGCACTGAACTGCTCTTGGCTGAGGCCTGGACTCCATCCATATGCAGGAGCTGAGACAGGCAGCTCCTCTCGAGCTTTAGGGACCTGGAAAAGCTGGGATTTTAGGGGAATATCAGCTCCAAAAACTGCCTGGCTCTTCCGATAAGGCAACTCCTTAAACTTATTCCAGCTTACAAAGTGCTGAGCCAGCACTTTGTGTAGGTTCAGTCCTCACATGTCAAAGCCTGGTGGAGAAGGAAAACTCCATCCCATCACCCACAAGAAGTTAATCTCATTTATTATGCACTGGAATTGTCCTTGCTCCCGAAATGAACTCCTGGGACTCTCCAAACCCCCTTCCCCACTCACTGTGGGCACCCACACATGGCCCCTGTCCCAAATTCCAGGACAAACTTCAAGCAGCAGCAGTGCAAGGGCAAATCCTCCCTTTACCTTCCCTCACCTCAGGGTCCTGCTTCCCCCTGCACCTCAACACAAACTGGGAGTGGGCCAGAATTCCTACACTGAGAAGCCAGAGCTCTTCCCCTCCTCCTGCACCTGCAACACCCCCAAATCTGGCACTTCCCAGAGATCAGAAGGAGCCAAGGCCTCCATGGAGAACAGCAGCACCAACACCCTCCCCAGGCACAGCAGAGCACTGAGAATTCCCAGCCCACAGCCCCGGGTGGACGAGCCCTGAAAGCCAACATTCCAAGGACATCTTGGCTTTAATTCAAGGGAGAGCTCAAAAAAAAAAAAAAAAAGCCCCACAAACAACCCCAAACCAGGTTATCAAGTTGTTTGTAGTCAATTAAGGGCTCTTAAGAGATCCAAAGCCTGCCTTTCAGCCCTGCAGCCTGAGGGTTTGTGTGCCACAGCCTTCCCACCCCGAGCGATGAAAGCCAACATTCCAAGGACATCTTGGCTTTAATTCAAGGGAGAGCTCAAAAAAAAAAAAAAAAAGCCCCACAAACAACCCCAAACCAGGTTATCAAGTTGTTTATAGTCAATTAAGGGCTCTTAAGAGATCCAAAGCCTGCCTTTCAGCCCTGCAGCCTGAGGGTTTGTGCACTAATAACATTATTGATCTGCAGTCACCAAGCAGTTCTTTATTCCTTCTCCATCTTCCAGCTGGCTCCACTCATTTCACTTGCTATTATTCCCTGTAGGAATTCCCTGTCCTTCCCCCAGCCCTTGCTGGGGGTGCTGGGAGAGCAGCTCTGCAGCCCAAATCCCAGGGAAAAGCCCAAACTGCACCATTCCCTCTACAAGAAGCTCATGTTTTAAGAGCAGCCCAATCCCAAACCCAAAAAACTGCTTTACCCCCTCCCTCTCCCCCACAAAAACCCCACTGCAGCAGCACAGGGTGTTTGCAGAGCCTGGTTATCCAGCAAGGGAAGGCAAGTTAATTAGAAGACAATTAACTGATTGCTCTGGGAAATGCATCTGGTTCTAGGAGGGAGATGCAAACCTTCCTTCAAATGCTGCTGGGAATAAAAGAGATAAAACAACCCAATTATTTCCACCCTCTCCTGTGTGGCACCTCAAACACACAAATCCAAACCCACAGCAAGCCAAGAGCTCTCCCAAAAACAGGCTGGACATCAAGGCTCTGCCAGAGCCCAGCACAGAACTCCCACACCCCAAGAGAGAAGTGAACTCCAACTCCACCTTTCCTTCCAGGAGTCCAAGAACAGCCCCAGAGTCGCCAAAAAAGTCCTCTGAAACCTGGGAATTTCTATGGAAGGAGACTGACAGTGTTCTGCCTGTGCAGGATCCAGGCTGGAGCCAGGGCAGGGGAGCAGCTCCCCCTGCCAGCACCACACTGTTCCACAGACTGGGAATGCAGCATCCTGAACTCCATCCCAGCTCAGGGGGGAAGGGATACTCCCCTCACCCTTGTCATTTTGGGGCTGGAAGCATCCAAGGCAAATCTCAACTCAGGGACCTGTCACAGGTTATTTATCCTGCTCTTGAACCTCCTTCCTTCCATTCCTCCTATGCTGGGAATGGAAACCCTCGGAGCCTCAGTGCAAGCTGGAGAGTTCCCCACAGTCCTGCACTTGGTGTAACCCAAGCCCAGCTGTCTGTGCTCCTGAAAAGGCCACAGTGCCACCAGCAAACACCCTGTCACACTCCAGCAGCCACTGGAATTGCTGGGAAGGGAAAGAAAAAGGGAAAGAGGAAGGGGAAGGGGAAGGAGAAAAGGGAAAGGCAGTCAGGGATCAGCAGACACTCAAGTTCTGAAGCTGAGCAGCAAAGGAGCACCACACCTTTGTCCTGCTCTCAGTGACAGCCACATTCCCTTGCACTGGGTGGTAACTGGAACCAGCCTGGACATTTCCAGTGTTCCCATTAAGCTCTGATCTCCTGATCCAAACAGTTCCTCCATCCCCAGTTCCCCCCTGAGCTGTGGGGTGAGCGTGGGGAGCACAACCCACCGCCCGGCTCCACACGCAGTTCCCAGGGAGCAAACCCAAGGAGAATTCCTGGGGCAGGTCTGGCTTGCCAGGGAAGTGCCCTGGAGCCACAGGGCTCACCAGCTGTGCTGCCAGGACACTGGAGAACTCGCTGTTCATGGCATAGGGGAGGGCTGTCTGGGCTCGGGAGCCGTACGTGGTCTGGAACCGCTTCTTGATCTCGTTCAGGAACGTGAAGGCTCGGGAGCGTTCAAAGTCCTGGCAGAGAGAGCAGAGACACCAGGAATGCACAGAGGCATGCACAGAGCCACTCACAGAGAGGCTGTAACTCCCAGTCCTAACTGGTGTGTCTGTGTGTGGCACTGGCACTGGGCTGCTTATCCCAGGGCTTGGAAGAGCAGCCACAGCGCTCTCTTATTACCACTCGGTGATCCCACTGTGAATTCTCCCTGCCTTGTTTCCAGGCTGCATTCCCAGCCTGGATATCCACAGTTCTAATTCAGTGCCTGGCACCTTCCTGCAGTGAGGGAGAAGTTTTGGCTTCAGCACTTCCAGAACTGAGGAGCACCAGGCACTGACAACTGAACTGGTCCCTGCATCCCCATCCCACTGCCCTGGCAGGGAAAACAAGGACTTCACCTCAAAACTACCAACTCACAGGCAGTGGGAGGTGTCCCTTCCAACCCAAACCATTCTGTGAGTCCACAACTGGAGTTCCAGGCTTAGACAGCAGAGCTGCAACCAGTGGGAATGAGAACACGAGCATCTTCCATGGGGGAAAAGGCACCTCAGACCAGCACCCACTAAAAACTGACAGCTGGATTCCCAGACCTGCTGGGAACAAAATACTCACGTCATCTGTGATGCAGAGGTAAATAATCCTGTCCTGGCAGATGTAGTGGAACAGGTAACTGCAGAGAATTGAAAAGAAGGAAAAAAAAAAAAAGATCATTTGGAGCTGCCACAGGACTCATTTTCTAGAAGACACTGCTGCCTGTGGGGCCTTCAGGGGCTGGGGAAGGAGACATTTCTGCATTCCCAAAAGTTTCTCCCCCAGAAGCACTTGGAACCTCTTACAAACTCCAGAATAAAGCAAATTAATTCTTCTGCAAAGCCTTGCCTTGTCCAGCTCCAAGGGTACAGCTCAGGAGCTCCACATTCAGGTTCTGTCTTGTAACATTAAGACAAGGCCAAAATAAGCTTTAGGAGTGGGCTAGAACTGCCCTGAGGGTCTGTTTCCATGAAAAGATAAAAGAAATCCTGGCATATCCACAACTGTCCTGCAAGGAGTGAGGTGCAGCTTGTCTGACACCACCTTGCAGGCTCCCCAGTGATTCCTAGAAGAATCCAAACTGCAGAGACAGAATTCCTGATGGCTGGTTTTCCCTGGAGAGTATAAAAAACACACAGAAGTTCTCCTTAAAAACAAACAGAACCCATTAAATGAGTTTGAGGAGTTCAAAGTTCAAAGGAACTCGAGGTTTTTTCCTGTTTCAGAAGAAGAGAAATTCTCTTAGAAAGACATCAGAGAATTTTCTGGCCAGGCTGGGAATGTGGCAAGGCAGAGGATCCCTGGAACACTCCAGACAGGAGGAACAGCTCCTTGTGCTCATTGTAGTTTCCCAGCTTTCCTGTTCTGCCCAGTTCTCTCTAAAAATGCACTGCAGCCCTCCTCAAACTCAGCTTTTTAGTTGGTTGAACAGCATTTGAGGCAAAGTTATTGCTTTTCACTCCCAGGAAATAACTGTATCCTTAAAATTACAACAGGAAAGAAAAGATGCAGTGGCCAAGGTATGTCAGAGCCCTGGGCTTCCTCAAAAATATCTCCCACAGGGACTTGGTCGGGCTCCCAAACCAGGAAAGGATGAGGGAAGATTATCCCAATCCTCACCCTGAATCCTCAGGCAGCCAGAGCAGCTCCAACACAGCAGCCTGGGCAGCAGAGAGGATCCTGCCCTGCTGCCCATCCCCAAAAAAGGGCTGAAATGGGGCCTCTAAAGTTGTTTTTTCCACAGTTGTTTTAGTCTGTTTGCCACAGTGGTTTTAGTTTTCTCCCCAGCACATGGACTCACCTACTTCATGGGTGCAATGAGTCTCAGGTGATGAACCATCTAATCCCAAGGGTTGTTCAGAGAGCTGGAAAAATCCTGGGAAAACCCTTCTGGATTTGTGGCAGCTCAGGATGACTCCAATGATCTGCCAGCACCACTCCTCCTAAAGCCCCCAGGATCCACAAGTGACCCACCACGTCCAAGCTTCAGAAAAGCCAGGGAAAGATTCCCTAAGCCACACTCCAAAAGTCCCCCAGCTGGGCACGCTCCAGCTCACTCTGGAGTTGTATCAAACCAGAAAAGTTGGATTGTGTATCAACTGCTTGAGCTAAACTGAATTTGGGACAGCAAAAGCCGACAGGATGACAGGAAAACAACCCCAAACTCAGCCAGTTTATTGCTGTCCTCCTGCCAGCCCCCCAGGGGGGTCACTCACCTGCCGTGGGAATAGGTGAGTTTGTTGTTCTCCGAGGGGATCTTGGCCAGGATCTGCTCTGTCACCTCCAGGAAGTTCCCTCCACACCAGGCGTGCTTGGCCAGGATGGTGGTGCCCCTCGCCACGACAGCAAACAGGATGGCCATGGCTTCCCCCTGCTGGGAACACAACCAGCATGAGCTCCAGGACACCAGGAACACAGCACTGGGATGAGCTCCAGGACACCAGGAACACAGCACTGGGATGAGCTCCAGGACACCAGGAACACAGCACTGGCATGAGCTCCAGGACAGCAGGACCACGGAGTTCTCCCACCTCCCCTTTCAGCTTCTGCTCCGACGACACCAGAACTCCAACGATCTCTAGGAAATTCCTGCTCACCACCGTGGCCTGCACTCAGTGATCCCACTGGGAATCCTCCCTGCCTTGTTCCCACCTGGATTTC